TACTCAAATTTATTAGTAAGCCAGAACTACCAATTTTCATTTCATATCAAGCCATTTGCAAATATGAAGCAGAAGGGTCAGATTAGAAATAAAACTAACAGAAAGGGATATTAAACAAAGCAACCAAAATGCTGGCATAATACAAGCTCAAAAATTTTAAAAAGTAGCTGAGGTTTCAGAAGTGCTGTAAACCAACATTTCTCATATTTCCTGGTGCAAAGTGTGAAAGCACCAAAAGTCATCAGATACTCAGATACTTTACTTCAGGTAACACATTAAAAGCAAAAAACAAAAAAAACAAAAACAAAAAACAAAAAAACAGTGAATTTAATAGGTTTAGATTAGATTACCTCTAGCTAACACTAAAAGTATTTTTAAAAAATCATTGGAAAAGAAAGACATATATTGCATTTCAATGATTGTTTAGAGTTTAGTTTTCTAAATGTTAATTAAAGACTAATGAATGTAAATATCCTTATTTTCAGAAGTGGTTACTGGATGAAAGCATTAACAGAAGGTCTAAATACAATAAAAGGGTATTAGAACAGAACTCAGAATAGGTTTGTTCTAGTCTTATCATTTGTCCCTGTTTTTATCACTATCAATTTGCACATGCATAAACAGCTACTGAAAATAATGTTAAAAAAGTCACTGTCACAAGAGAGCATGGGAAAATAAAATAAAGCAACTACTTCTAAGTCTGCATTTGCCACTTCAAAGCATGTATTTTAAGCCTGTGAAGTGTCCTACACATGCACTCAACATTCTGTGCATACTTCAGTGCTAGAAGGACAAGATATTCTCTTCTTTTTTCAGATTTTTTTGGATTTTTTTCCTCACCAGTCACAGAGGAATTGCATTAGGACATAGTCCTTTTTCCTTACATCCGCCTACAACAAACATTTGCTGAAAGTCAGCGACTCCAAAATCAAATTGTTTACAATTAACTCAAAAAGCCATTTAAAAATTGTTTCTTTGTTCCAGTTGGAAAGAGAGACAGCCAGATGTGTGCCTTGTTGATCTCGCTCTTTTCTGACCTATGAGTGTAGGAAGAACTGTAGCTGAGGAAGGAAGTCAGCAAGTTGTGTTAACGACGGTGAACATTGCAAAAGAGACAACTGCTTTTTCTTTAAATAAAAATATCTTTGAAATAGTTCTTATTTTAAAAAAATATATTATATAGCCTTTCCTCTTGCTACTGGCGAAAAATCAGAGCCTTTATTTGAGGAAAAGTCAATCGAATTTACAGGGTTTTCTTACTTTTGAAAAACTCTGCCCTTGATTTCAAGGACTTCATTAAGTTTCACCACTGTGTATTAGAGAACACCTTGCCATTAACACCTCCTGGGAGACAGTACTCCATTGAGGATGCAAAATTCAGGAAAAGTATTTGAATGTTGGGCACTTACTGAGTCGCAATCCACTATTACAGATAAAAATCAGGTCTAAAGCTGAATTCCAGATTCAGAGTGCATCCACTTCTTCATAAAACACGTTGGGCAAAAACCACAAAACAAAGAATTGTAGTTACTATGCGACCTTTCTTCACACATCTTCTTGAAAACACATTCATATCATCTTATCTGTAAAACATCTGATAATTAATTAACTAGTAATCGGAGTTGAAAACTATTTATTATACAGTTGTATTGATGCCATATGCAACGACTTGTCACCGTACAGAATTTTTGTACCAGATATTCTACAAGCATAGAAAAGAACAATTTCCCAAAGAATTCACAGTAACAGTAACATGAAATATTATCATCTTGTTGCAGAAGTTTGAATTACTTTCTATAAAATTCTTAAAATGTTTTCTAAAGTTTATGATTGCATAGTTCCTCATTTCAGAATGGAATCTGAAAAGTTATTAACAGGTACCATACCTGAGCATATCTAAGAATATAAATATATATGTGTGAAGTAAAAATTCACACTAAAGATTCAGATTTAGCTGAATTAATGCCTGCTCCTTATGCAGTCAATGAAGCTTTCAAAAGGCATCTAATTCTATTCTCTGAATTAGATTAAATGTTTGAGGTGATCTCCCTGCATTGCTGCACTCATCTTAACAATTCAAACCAGTTTTGGTGGTAGCAAATGACCATGTATAATTTTTGTCATTCAGTTCCTATTTTCAGAATAGGGTGAAGGGAAATCATCTGATGATCTGAGCAATATCATCATAATTCATCTGTCATTGTTTATTATGATATTACTGAGTTAACAAACTTCACTGTGTGTTCTTAGAAAACAGGAAATTGGAAATGAAAACCAGCTTATTCTCTTTGCATTCCACATCCTCCATCCCCTAATGTCATTTAAAATAGATCACCATGCACATGCATATACAAAGACAAAACATTGTTGACAACAAGGGTTCAATCTGATAAAGGAATTCAAATTCTAAAGAATTATAACAATATTTCATATCACACACTTCAAAACATTTTTAAGAGATACTGATGATTTTGATAACAGACTAAAATTCACTCTTCCTCTTTTGACTAAGAGAAGTGGAAAATCTCATCATAAGACTTTTGGAGCACAGCTATGAGCACAAAGAATACCTTCTGCTGCACTGGTATTAAGAAATTATTGTTGGCTTGTCACTGTCATATTACAATTTGACCTTCAGAAACTTTCCTTTTAGAGCAAAGTGTTTAGATGCTGCTTCAATCTGTATTTTGTCACAGGCTTCTGATAAAGTCAATATTTAAGGCTATTAAAGGAATATTCAGGAGGTTCATTTTGAAATAATAATTTGTCTTAATATCTTTACAAGGTCTGTAGTAGCAAACAATAAGGATTTCAAGAACATACCTAGAGAAAAAAAGAAAGATTCCTATCAGTTGTAGTTCCTACCAGTTTATTAGTTCCAATCACTGGAATTAATAAAAGCTGTGAATTACCCTGTATTACATTAGTAACTTTCTATTGACCAAATTTAAAAGAATACATAATTTAGTAAATCTCTACTTCCTCATTTCACTCACATTACTTGTTTCACATGACTTCTTTTCTGACATGTTAAAGTCTTCGTCTACACTCCTACCGTTTTCTCTTTACTCTTCCTTTTCACTTTACTTTGCCTGTCCCAAAGACCTCCTTGCCCCATGCTTCAGCTCATCTCAGTCTCCCCATCAGGATGTGTGAGCCTAAGAGCTACCCTGGATTTTGAGCTCTTCCAACTAAGAAAGGCCTTCCTTCACTTAAAAGTAGAATGGGCCCTAAATTGTAATTAAAATATTATCTTTATACAATTCAATAGGTACGTCATATGCATAATTCCTCTTTTAAATTCCATAGGACTATAACAAAGTAGAAGGCCCTTAAAGGAGAAAAAGTGGAAAATAAAATACAGAAAGCAGCTGCACTGGTTATGTATATAGTTCTTATAAGTATCATATCATTATTTACAAGGTAGGGAAGAATAATTTCCTCCGCTGCAGAAGTTATTAAAGCTATGATTATAGCCTCTAATCTAAACATAAATCCTTCCTTTCACCCCTCACATCCACCTCCTCCTTTGGACCAGAGTTTGTTCAGCCATCCAGTGAAAAAAAACAGGAACACTGTTGGTTTTCAGCTATATTGGTTCCACATTCAGTAGAATCCTCTGTGGCCTTGAATTAACGAATCTTTAGGCCTTCCAAAGTCCTCTACAGGTGGTTTTGTTTCTTTTGAATAAACATCCATTAGTGAATACCTTTCATTTGATAGACTGACACTGAGATCCCTACGTGCACTTGGCTACTGCAAGTCTGCTTTGATAACAATCCATTCAAACTGTTGCCCTGTTGGATTTGTTTTTGCCTATAACAAATCGATTTTTTTTGGTGGTCATTTGTTCACAGCATCCCCTGCTGAATGACTCTCACAACAACTGAGCTACTGATTGCACTCACTGTAAGTAGAGCAGGGTTCGCTTAAAGATTCCCCTTCATACTTGATTTCTTCTTCCTCCTAGAAACCATTGAATCAAAGCCACCATCTGACAGAGCCTTCCTTCCCCAAATAAAATATAGGGTTACTCCCAGTAAGATTTTAAGCGTGGCATGCTGCAATAGATAGCCCAGCTCAACCGTCATGTCTGTTTCCCATTTCCCCGCAGTCTGTAAAGGGCTGGTAAGCAGCAGCTTGTTTGGGGCAGAACCAACAGAACTGTCTCCTGTGACCTGGAGCCTCGCAGCTCTGTGACAGTACTGACCATAATTTGGCCATATGCTAAGAGCAGCACTTAACTTGGTTACTTTTCTGCTCCTCTAATCTCTGTGGTAACCACTAGTATCCAAATCAGTACAACTTTCTGTACTACTGTGATAGCCTATCAAAACCTTCCAGCTCTATTCTGTCACCCTCTCCTTTCTTCTCAGATACTGAAGTCTGCAGTCGTTCACAGCTCCTTCATATTCTTTCTCATGCGTCAAACCTTTTCTTGGGAGTAGAGACGGAGCATGAAGTCTGAAGATACAGTAAAGCCAATCTAACAATTCGTTGCCAGGGGTACTGGCTCTGATTTCCTTTGTGTCAACACCAGCCCTTGTTTGATTCCACAGTGAGCCGATTCAGAGGTCTAAGCTGATAGAAAAATATCCTCCAAGAAGTTTTCAAAACCCCATAGATTTTCAGCAACAAATTCCCTAAAACTGAAACATTACAGCTGAGTACAAGCATTGGTGCAAGAGAGGGGGCAGACAGAACCGAACCACCACTTTTAGTGGCAATAAGCCAACAGGACAACTACTTACTCCATCTTAAAAATCAAATAACATATTTAGTTAGGCCATGCAGAATTGCTGATGTGGTTTCTCTCATGGAAAATAAACATTTAGAACAACTGAGTTATTATTATTTAAAATCTGTAACAGAATTAGGCATATTCAACAAAAACAAACATTTTATACATGGTAAACTATAACACTTTGCATTCACTAGCTTGCTTATAATCAGTGCAGAAGAAAGGAGATGCTTAATATAAACACTTGATCATATCTTACCTAGAAATACAGCGGTTCCAATTCACATTCAACAATCCAAAGAAGTGATGCTAAACATTCAACGTCCGTCTGTCATGAAAAACATTCAAGTTTACACTTGTAATCACTGTGCTTTTCCCTGTTTTAAAATGAAACTTCCTAGCTTAAAAAGGAAATACACCAGATTGTACCAGTGGAAATCTGAAATTACTCTTTCAAAAGTGCAGTTTGGAACATTAGAACACATTTGAAGTTATACTATTCAAAAATGCCACTAGGTTGAAATGTTCAGGTATTTAAGCTGAATTTTTATTCCATATAATTTCTGCGGAACAGATTCAAATTAATTTGGATTTTATGACCAACTGTTGCCAGGACTGGTACAGTCAAAGGAAAATAATATTCACTGGTACTGGTTAAAATAAATAATAATGAAACTGCAAACAGATTTCCATAATATTTATGTATTTATTATCATGATTATACCCTATTTAAAATAATATTTACATTGAAAGAAGTCTGGTTAAAGCAGTTCTAAGTCTGCAAATTAAATTTTCAATCTTTTGAAACTATGAAAACAAAGAATGAAGCTTAAATGCTAGTGACCATTTCATTCTGCAAGCAGATGAGAGAGGCGGAAAGAAAAATAAGGGCACCAGGTATAGCTGCCCCTATTGCACTTTTTCATCTTTTTACATAAAAGAACTTATAGCAACACAAATTTGCTCCCAGAGCAAAGGTGATGACAGCTAAAAACAGACCAACAAAAAAAGACACTAAAGGAGAGCTTGGAACTAAAATTCTGTTTCAACGATTACCACAACATTGCTGATATAGCTTCAAAGACTCGTCTTCACAAAAATTCTGGTTCCCTATTCTCATGACTATGGAAACAGAGGTCAAGTGATCAGGCCCATAAATCATCTGAATTCCGTTTTAGCTCTGGAAACCACACGGTTGTGCTTCTGCAGCTGAAGTTATACAAATATGAATAGTAACTGGTTCTATGTAACTATGGATTTTTATTCATTGAATCTCAAAAAGTAGGAGTGTTTGATCACTGCCTAGGCAAGAATTCTCTTTTGAAACTTGAGGGACGCAGATACTCTTTTTTCTCCTAAAAATAAGTGCTTTACTGCAAACCATAACAAAGCATTATAAAAGTAGACTAAATTAAATTAGAATGAAACATTAATTTCAAGCAGAGCACCCACACTGGGAACTAATTAGGAATAGCTCTTCCATGTAAACAAATCTTTATACCAACTAGTAGCTGGTCAAGTCAGGGAACTCCCTTTCTCTAGGGGAAAAAGTCTATTTTCAGTATTGCTTTATTTTGCTACACAACCAGAGAGAGTTTACAGCCAGAAGCAGTGGAGGGTGTTTAGAGTTTAATATCTGAGACAGTTTGATTTGAAAAAACTGGCAGTAGAAGGCCTAAAAGTCACGGAAGCAGGACTTCCAAAAGGGATGAGAACAAATCCTATTCCACATCCAGCTAAATGTTCTTCTTGTCCTAAGGTCTACACAGCAGACCAAAAACATGTAACAATCATAGTGAAATGTGTCAAAACAAACAGTGGAGTAACTGAATAAACTTCATGGGAAAAAGAATTCTCAGTTGTTCTACAATAACAAAAACAAACCAAGAAAATCCAAGGCCAGAGTATTATGCCCAGGAAGAATTCTGAAAGCACCAGTCAGGTGCAACAGTAAAACTATACACCAGTCACCCCCATGAGGCTGAGAGTTCATTTATCATTTACAACACTCTAATCTTCTAGACACCAGTTTTGGGCAAAACAAAGCATACATGGGTTAACTCCTACCTTGTTAAGGATGATCCAGAGCCTTCCTTATAATTTGACAGAAACTGCAGTCTGCCAAATAAAAAATATATATATACATTAAAAAGAACTGTTATTACTGCAATAGCTTTTGATTACTAATTAAAAGCCAGATAAGTTACCCTAATACCTTCAAAACACCATAGGAATATCCCTCTTTTTAAAGTACTTAGTACTGCTGCAAGGTATCTTCTGCTGTGGATTATGCCTTAACCAAAAGGTTAGTTTTCTCATAGCACCCTGCACCAGGATACTGATTTGTTACTGTGTTTAAGATAGATAGCAAACAAAAGTTCACATAAAGCTTAGGAAGCTACTGAAGAGTTAAACCTGACCAGACTCTCAGCACTTCACTGTTGCTATGCAGAGTCACGAAGAAATGAAACTGAGGAAAAAATAAATAAATAAATAAAAACAAAACCAAAAAACCCCCATAACTGAATAGTTTTAACTCCACCACTCATGGGAAAGAAGCCAGGAAAAGAGGCAGAGCTATTCACGGGCAAGGGCCGAACAGGAGCACCTAGGGACAGAGACAGGACTGGAAACACCTCGCGGGACCCAGAAAATTCCCACAGAGCACTGGTCTAGTAAAAGGCAATTTTTGACTGTCCAGCCCTGCTGGGTTGCAGAAAACAGTCAGTAGATACCATGATCTTCTAGAGCGTTTACTGGTCAGATAACTCCTTCCCTTTTGACCCGCGAAGCAGTTGGAAGCGCCTTGCTCAATAAACCCAGCACTACTGAATCACGCTTCAGCCGGGGGGCTTGGAAGGGAGCAACCCCCTTGCGTGGGCCGCGCAGCACCCTTCTTAACTCCCGAGCTACTAAGTGTTTTAAGGCACTTTCCAAAACTTCTGTAACGAATCCAGCCGCTGACTGGAAAGAGTCGTTAAGCAACAACACGTACAAGATTGGTGTTAAACAGAAACAAAGAAGATTTACACAACGGAGAGAAATGAAAAGAAAGGATTACATGCGAGAAGAGATTGAAAAAAAAAACCCAGAAACAATAAAAATGCAGGTAAACAAACAGGCCTATGCAGTGCAGATGCTCGTCAAAAGGCAGAGGTGGAGCCTGGCTTCTGAAAAGGCAAACCTCGCACAGAACATTCGGGCGCCGTATTCAACTGCTTGTTGGAAGGATACGATGACTCGACACAAAAACAGACTCAACGACTGTGAGAGAGGGGAGGAAAATATTTCTTACCCAAAGAGCTTAAATTTAAATAAATGGTAATTAATGAAATCTCATGCCAGAGTGGGCCTGTGCAGAACTGCGGTTTTTTGATTCACGGTTGGAAGTTGGTCAATCTGAAGAGATCAAAAATTTTCAGCCATGGAAGCCACTAGCAACAGCTGAATTTAATTCATGATCATTTCCATAAGAAATCAATCAGAAGCAAAAACATAACAGAAGGGGGAGTCTTCTCCTTCTTTTTGAAGTATTAAATGGAAATACGACGACAAAAATGATAATTTAAGAGTGAGCAACGACTGCATTTCCTTCAAATGCATGGAACACACTTCACAAGTCCATCTGAACAGGTACAGTTTTCAGATAAATTAATCATAGAACAAGACTTAAAAGTTTAATTATTGCTAAAAAATTGCCTGAAAACTTTTAAACCAAATGCAATTGGGACAGAGCAAAATCTAATCTAAAATTCTACAGAATAAAAATAACAAAAATGCTGCAAGAATTGAAATAGGATAAGTGGTATGAAGTAGATGTAAGAATAAAAGATAAAATATATTTGATAGAAATAGTAGAAGTATAATGCAAAACGACTGGATTTTTTTTTAAAAAATGTGTACATTCAGAGAACATGAGCCTTCCCCAATAGTACTGGTAATGGTAATTAAACGTTTTGAAATCTAACATAGACCTAGAGGAAGGTAAAGGAGAATTTTCCTCAGAGTATGCTGGTTGTTTCCATATGTTTATGTTAGACTAGTTTGGTTTATTCAGAGAAAATTAACAGTGCTGGCAACAGTAAACTCTCATGTTACAGGTGCAAAATATACTCACAGAAACGTTACAGATTTTGCCTGGAAAGTGGCCAATCATACAATTACTTTGAAGGCCAAACATATTCTTATATAAAAAGATTACATTTTGGAAACTAAAGAAAAAAAAATCTGAAGAACTACAAAGGAGTATTCCCTGCTCAGCTGAATCATGAAATTATTAAAATTTTGCAACTTGTATAGAATAGCTATCCTAAGCATAACTTAAGTACTAGCTAACACTGTTAGGTTTTTGGGGGGATTTTTTGTGTATGTGTTTTTTTTTTTTTTTAAACAAACTATGCTTTGCATTCTGGAAGTCTACTTTTTAGTTTTCTAAAAAACTTATTCCAGTTATCCTTACTTCTTTCAGACTAAAACAAAATTAGACTAAAAATCACAAATGGCATGTAAAAATAGCGTCTCTCCAATTTATTAGAGCTAATAGGGCAAAGAGTTACAAAATGCACATTAAAAAATAAAATAAAGTAAAGGAAAAACAACTACAAACACAAGCCAGGAAGCACTTTCTGTTCACTAAGCAATAAAGGTGTGGAGTAGCCTGGAAGGCAAGTGTGTTGAGGTAAAACATTTGAATTGAGTGAGATACCATCCAGTGGGAAAGCAAGCACTGTAGGAGAAAGATAAACTATTCTGACTGAGCTTTACGTTTCCTTTTTTTTTTTTTTTGTCTTTAAAGTAGACTATTCCTTTAAAATTAGAGATGAACGTTGAAGATTGGTATCAGAGTCTTTCGCAGCAAAGTCGGGGGTATCAAGGACAATGTTTTAAATGTTTATAAAATAACTAAATAGCAATATAATCTCTATAGCACTCTGACCTAAACAGGGAGTGAATAAACATGTCTGTTAGGAACCACTCTCTTTGTCATGAAAATTCAGGAAGAAAGAAAAAGTGGTCTTTTCTTAAACGCTAATGTGATATAAATGCACAGAATCAAATAAATAAAAAATAAACTGATGCATACTCTTGAAACTTCGGCAAAATCTATATGCTGTTTTAAGGGATGGCAGGCAACAAGGAGCAAAAAACCATCACTTATTAACATAGAAGAGAATTCTCTGTTACTGTTTGGTAACAGCCATTAAGTCAATTTATCCCTAGTTAAAATGCATGTGTGACATGAAACAAAAAAGTCAGTTCAGTATCCTTACGGTCATAGTCTGGGGAACCTGCTGGGAGGAAAGCTTATTATACACTCAGGGATTTGTGCAGTCACAGTCCACAACCAATTTAACTTAAGGCAAAACACAGCTGCTACTTCGAAAGTTTCCTGCTGTGTAAGAAATAATTAAGGCTGTATGATCGGTATTCAACCGAGCATTAATAGCAAAGTTCCTCGCAAATAAAAAGTTAAGTGAAGTTGCATTACACAAGGGATCACATTATGTTGCAGATCAAAGCAAAATCAGAAGTTAGACAAGATGAAGTTGCAACATAGGGGCTAGATTCTAAATTGTAACAACGGGATGGCAGTATTATTTCCTATTTCAGAACCCCTTTTCTCAGAGAGCAGAAGGTACATGTTTCAAAATGAAGTTACAAATCTGTATTTTAAGATATAGGGGGGAAAGAGAGAAGCACACACTTGGTAAAGTATAGACTGAAAAAGTACAAACCTGTAAAGGTTTCAGTACCAAGCTGGTACTGTTTACATATTATGCAAAAAGATGAGAGAAATGTCTGGCAATACAGGGCTTTTCTGTTTAGGGCAGTCCGTCCTGTGCAGCGGTGGCACCTGATCTTAGTTTTGATTCACTACCTACACACCCCTCAAGCCACAAACTGCATTAGAGATTCCCAGCACAGGAAATAGCGCACACAGGGCCCATCACCTGCCTCCACTGGGGGGGACCAGGAGGTAGTGGCTCGGTTTCTGAACACTGAACCATTCCCAAGGGGAGGGAGGTATGTTCAGTTCACGAGGCAGCCTACGCTGTCCAAATAGCTATTCCTCATCTCCTATAAAAGAGGTTGTGATACAGATAGAAGTACTCCATGGACTAGATTCAACCCATGAGTTGTCAGTTGGATCACACTCTGCTAACTCACTAGGATGCTAATAACTTTAACAGTGCTAAAAAAAAAAAAAGTTAGAACATCTGCTTGAGGATGAGATTTCCTAAAAAGCCTAAAGATCATTCAGGGTGGTGGTAGCAGGTTGCTACTGCTGCTTTAGTTACCAGAAGGCACAGTCCTGGAAAGGTATAAGCTTTACACTATAACCAGGATATACATCATCTGCTCAGAGGATGCTGGAAATGCCATCTGTTTACATTTAGCTTATTTTTTACTTAAAATAACAGGCCATAATTCTTGACTTTTTGTTTTTAAATGGTGCTTTCAAAATGGCTAATTATACCTATGTATACCCTGAGGCTTTTTCTTACACAAACATTAAGAAACTCAATTTTATGATGAAGTCCCTCTGAATTATTTTTCCAGCTTTCCAGACCCTGCTTCTCACTTCCAGATTCAAAAGAACTTTTTTCTTCTGCTCTTGTGAACATGCAAAGATAATCCTGCCATTGCATTCCCAAGAAAGTTTCTGAATTCTAGCATCTTGGAAAGCAGCATCAGTGGCTACATATATACTGATACATATATGTAAATATCAGTATATATGTATATCAGTAAATAAAACAGATCAGGGCAAAAAGCCATTCTCCGAGTTTGAAACCATGATGTGTACCATGTTAAATCCTATCCCTCCAAAACAGGATGTCCAGCTCCAAATAGCATTTTGCTAATGGTCCCTTGTCTATACCAACCCTAGAGCTATGCTTGGGCACTGTCTGGGACAGTGTTAGCGGGCAAAGGACAAAACCGTAGAACAGTACTGAAAATGTAACCATACAGACAAGCACGTGCCACAGCTGCTCCTTATGTAGGTTACTTCTGGTAACACATATCATGATTATAGTTCCCAGCTGCTTCTCGAGAACATCATTTTTAGAAGTTAATTCTATCAGCAGCCAATGCATTTCAGAATTAACAGGTCT